CCCCAAAACCCCAAAACCCCATGATAATTTCTCATTAACAAAATTAAGAGAAATTAAGAAAGATAAATACTAAGCAATCAATAGGAAAGCTGCAGATTTTTAATTAATATACTAGATTAGTTCAGTTTATTTTACTTAGAAAGTTTTCAAGTTCTTTTCTTTTTTGGTCTTGAACTAGATCATGCTGTTTTTGCTTTTCTTATTGCTGATAAAACTATTTGCCTAGCAGTCTTACTCTTTCCTCTCTTCTGCTTCTCATTTTTTGCTTTTTTAATAAGCTCATATCTAATTTATCCTTCACAAAATCTACATTTGCAGATACCTTTAGTTTCAAACTTTTATCATCTCTATCATTATAGAACCCACTGCTTTAGCTATATAATCTCTAAGTTTAATTTTTGTTGAATTTGACAGAGTCTCTCATAACTTTTTGAAAGCTACTTCCATTCCTAGCTCTTTCTTCATACTAGTGGAAATTGATTTGAGTTTCTACAGGCTTATCAAAACTTTCTACATCTTTCCCGAAATCACCATGACTCAATACTGATCCATAAAAAGTTGTACTCCCATTTACTTAATCATCACCAAGAGCAGGCAAAACTAATCTCTTACTAGCCAAATAATCAAGATAATCATTAGGATCATTATGCTTAGTGGCCAAAGACCTTAGGTTGACTAATTAAGTCATATTTCTATGGTGAGTTGAAGCTAATGGTGTTAATTTTGAATCATCTTGTAACATCAATGGCTAGTTCTCATTTTACTTAATTTTTTATCTTATTTTCAAAAGAAATTCATTTTTCCTGGATTGAGTAATCTCAGATTTCTTGACCTGAGAATCTGGGTCAAATTATAATAGCTTTTTAAATCTATTGAGATCTTGAAATCTATCGAATAATTTTCCTGTTTCAAAAAAATAGCTGCTGTCTCCTTACAAGAATGAGATATCTTGAATCTTAGAAGTTTGCTCAAGGTAAGTAGATTGAGAAGTCGTTGGATTGGTAGTCTACTCTATAGTATTCGGTTCTGTTTAATTATGGGTCAGCATAAGTTTTTTCTTCAAGAATTCAATGTATTTCTCTCTGTTAGTCTGATCTCTAGACTTATAAAAAAGTTCTAAATTTTGTTTTTTAAGTTATTCAGAATCTTGATTAAGATATATATCATCCTTGAATAAAAATTTGTTATTCTTAAACTTCTTATACTGAGTTTAAGACATTATTATTTATTGATATATAGCATCACTGCCTCTTTTCTAACTTAATTGACTCGAGAGTCTTTTGCCGCCAGTTACTTTGATAGGCAGTGGATGTGGGTGGAATTTACCATAGATTTTAGTTATTTGCTTGAGCTCATCATCCATGTTATTAGAATCTAGTGTCTTGAACTCAGTTTTAAATTTAGCTGTGGAACTTGGGGAATCTTTTAAATGTTCTTATTGATTTAATTCCATACTACTTTTCTTTGGAGTCAGATCTTAATTTGATTTGTCTTTATTATTGTCAAATGAGACTGGTCTCATAACAGTCTCATCTGTTAAATTAGTCATATTGTTTGTTGACATCTGCTTCACAATTATTTGCTCATTACGAGGGGAAGTAGTTATATCTTTTTTTGGGCTTTCACTACCTCTTTTTTAACTTGGATCATACTTTTGTTTTTAAGGTGGTGATGTTCTGGCTCTCTTGCTATTTTACTTTTAAGCTGACTCATTCCAATGGGAAAAAGGCATTTTTCTACCTCTCGTTTTAAGCATGTTGGAATTCACCCAATTGCTGTTATTTCCATTATTCTCCTGTAACTGTTCTTAAGAAGACATCTTTGAGTGTAAGTATAGATTCTCATATTCTTGCTGTATAGATTTTCTATGCGAACTCATAGCTTTTGAGAAACTTTGTGTGTTTTAGGAGTTTACTTGATTATTTATTTTCATTCTCTTTGAGTGAATAGGCTGGTATGTACTCTTTTCTTCATAGTCCTTAGACTTGAAATGGCTATTATTGTTGTTATAATTGTTGCTTTAGTTATTACCGAGGCCTTAAGCATTCTTTTACCCAAGAAATGAGCCAAAGTTAATTATTTTAGTTGCGTTATTATAAGAATTATCTAAGGGAAGATCTTTATTGTTTGTAATTATTAAATTTTCCATATGTTTGAGCTAACTGTTTACTTCCTAAGAGAGCGTGGGGCTCTGAGCTGAATCTCAGTGTCTCAGCACAGATCTATTATTATCACTTTATTTATAGTCCTCAACAATCTTAAGCAACTATTGCTACTACTTATGTGTGATATCCCCTCTGTGAGTGCTCAATTGACCATCCCTGTAAGATAGAGTAGAATTATTATTATTCATCCCTCCATGCGCACTGTTAACAGCCTCCTACGAAGAAAGATACTGATGATTGCCCTTGCTTGCTATTGAGTTAATAGTTTAGTTTCTATTAGGCGAGTTTCTCAAATCCTGCTAAACTATGGGCATTCTGAGAATGGTAGCTGAAATTTTAGATTTCGGAGATACTTTATTCATTTTGGGATTCGTCAATGGATTTTATTCAAATGAGGCGGTCTCAGTTTCAGTAGCATTTTAGACATGATATTGCAATCTTATCCTCGATTCCATAGACTTATCTCTCACATTAATTAGTGGATTAGTAGCCATGTGAGATGGTGACTGGTAAGAATGCTTAATTATAAGCTCTTCAAAGAGGGAGTCGTTATTTGCAGGGTTTAATTGTTGTTAGAATTGCAGTTCTTCAAACTACTTATGAACCTTTATAATATTTTTACTCGAAGTCTTAGAGCCATGCACCTAGGAGGTTGACCTTAAGTTATGATAGTGACTGCTATTTTCTACTCTCCACTTTGAGATCTATTCGCTTGAGTCCTCAAGCTGCAAGGCTATTTTCGCCTTATTTAGCTTGATAGCCTGCTTGTTATTATTTCTTCTCATTTTATTTTCCAGCTTTTTCTATAATTTTCATTCTATTCCTCTTTTATGGGGTTTTGGGGTTTTGGGGTTTTGGGG